GAGTAGTAGACGGATGGGAGTCGGTCCTGAACTAACTTAGCATTTTCAGGATCATCCTTTAGTCGTCTCTCTTCTAGGATACGATCGATCTCATAGATGCTTGTCGTGAAGAACTCGTTTTCCTTGCGTTTCATGGTGTAGTGGAAGGCGTTGGCAGAGATAAGTGAGATGCGGGGTGAAGGAGGGGAAGAGGGTGCAGGTCGGATAGGTTTCGGAGCAGGGTCGGGTGCTGGAGGTAGAGAACGGGCTTTGGGGAGTCGAAGAAGGCCACAGATCCGTTGAATACTGGCCGTGGTTGGACTGTTTCTTCTCCGATAGTCGTCCTTCTCCCAGAGAGCGTTGCGTCTCTCGATATCCTTCGCAACCTCGGTGTCAACAGCTAGTTGTTTTAACTGCACTAGGATAGGTGGGGCAGGATCATAAGTTGCTGGGTACTTGGCTGGCCATACGATTCGGTTCCGAATCGTATCTAATTGAAGCTGGAATCGGCGCAGCCACTTAATCCCAATAATGCAGTCCTGTGATCCTAAATCCATAATAACGAAAGGGCAGTTGTAAACCTTGCGGCCATCGATAGAGAGGTGTAACCGGATATATTGATTTACCCTTGTTTGAACCTGATCTTAAAATCCTTTAACTGTAATCTTGAAGGGTAGCCGTCGGATAGGAACCTGAAGCGAACTAGAGATTGTACGAGCAATTGCAGAATTCAAAAATAAGAAACCTTGGGCGCTAGTATCAACCAGCGACTGCAGGCTGACACCATAACCCTTCGAACAAAGAACGGTGGGGACTCGGAAGTGCTTTCCTCCAAACAAGTGTGACAGATCAATCTTAGCAAGGTCATACTTGTGAATGCCTAGGGCGGAGCGTTTTCCTAGGCTTCGTCGTTTCCCGACCGGTCCTTATCCGACTGGTATTCTGCAGCTTCCTTAAACACCTCTTCTTCTTGGAAAGCTTCTATCTCTCTTACCCGAGGGATTGTGCAGTCGCTCGCAAAGTGTCCGGGCTTGCCGCATTAGTAGCAGTTACCAGGAGTAGTTTGGCGTTCTGGTACTAGTGTCTTAGAGGCAGGCCTAGGCACACTCGAGAAAGCCCGAGGTGGGGTCGGAGCGGGGTCGGACCTTACTTCGTGCGTGGGTGGGCGATACTCTCTTGTCTGATAGGTAGCTGACTTAGGCTTCGCAGTCGAAGTGTAGGTGGTCCGTCGCTCCGATTGTGCTACGATAGGAGCTGATCGTCGTTCTAATTCGAAAGCAGTGAGATGTTTACACATCTCATCGAAGGAGCTGTCAAAGAAACGCTTAACAGCCATGTTAGGAACTCGTAAAGCTGGGCTAATCTTCTGCTAGAGATAGAAGGGCCACTCCAGTTCCGATATATGTCCTTTAATAGCGAGACTAATAAAACGAGCTTTGAACTCTGAAAACGGCTCTCTATCTTTTATAAGTAGATTGTGGAAAGCGGCTCGGCTCTCCGCCTGCTCATTGCTAGTTACGAAGTATGATCTAAGCAGCTCGATTATTTCCTCCGCATTCTTGAACCGGTACCCTTCCGTCTTTGATAGGTACTTGGGTTCGAGGTATCTCTTGGCATCACCCGACGTGTGGCTATACACCATGGCCATCCGGTGGCGTTCCGTAGGGAAGTGGTCCGAGTTTAGGTTAAGTCGGTCTTCCACTTCGGCTTGCCACTGGGGAAAGGTGGGATCTTTCCTATTACTCAATTGGCTGATGGAGGATGAGATAAGACGGCTTAGTTTGATACGTGGAGGCTCGGGGGTGGTAGAAGTGTACCTTGGTGATTGGCGGGAAGGTAGTTCGGCCGATATTGGTGGGGATTCGGTGGTAAGAACTACGTTACTCCGCAGCTCGGCGTTTTCTTGGGTCAGTCGGTGGACTTAGTTAACTAAGCTGGCCATCTGCCTATGGAGGTCTCTCATAGTCAGTACTGGTACCGAATCCTCCTCGTCTTCGTCTTCTTCTTCTTCTCGTGGGGATGAAGTCTCTAGAGATTCCTGGGTTGGTAGCTTGCTAGCTTTCTTCTCCGAGACGGTTTGGTCCTGGAGTCGGACCGATTTCCGAGGTGGTTCCTTAGAACTACCGGGTTTTGGTGGGTTAACCATCAGCGATTGCCTCTGAGGTTGATGGGTTATTGGTAGTCTCCGAGTCTCTAGCGTGGCGCACTCTACGCGACTTTTACCGAAGTAATCTGCCTCGCGAGGAGCGCAGAAGTTCCAAACCCAAAGGCTTCGGCCGGCAGGAGATCAGTGGGATCCTGCCTAGGTGAATGTGGGACGTAACGGTGGAAGTCCGGGTCGACTCCGGATCTTGGGGGATTGACGTGGTCTTCAACAAACAGCTGCGATATTGTTTTGAAGCCGTCACCGGCTGGGACGAGACTTTTGATATAATGTAACGGCGCAGGCAAGACTACTCGGATCAGTATCGGCGGTA